ACTCATGAGTCCTTGTCAGTATTAAGGTAGTGGGAGGGAAAAAAACATTGTATGTATGTATAGATAGATAGAGGGCACAGGGTGAGTTGAAGATGAAGGGGTGATCTCTGGAAAATAAAATTAAGGGGTGAGAGAGGATTATAGGAGAAATGGAGAAGTAGAATGAGGTAAAATACCTCACATGAAACAGACGAGAAAAGGCTTTTTCAGTGGAGGGGAAATGGGGGAAGGTGAGAGGGAATGAGTGAATCTTATTCTCATAGGATTTGGCTTAAGGAGGGAATAACATACACAATTGGGTATGGAAATCTATCTTACCCTACAGGAAAATAAGGGGGGAAGGGGACAAGAGAAGGCAGGGAGATGATAGAGGGGAGGGCAGATTGGGGGAGGGGGTAATCAGAAGCAAATACTTCTGAGGAGGGACAAGGTCAAAAGAGAGAATAGAATACATGGGGAGGGGTAGGATAGGATGAAAGGAAATATACTTAGTTTTTCACAACAGGACTACCATGGAAGTGTTTTGCATGACTACACATCTATAACCTCTATCTATTGAGATGCTTGCCTTTTCAATGAGGGTGGGTGGGGAGGGAGGAAGGGAGAAAATTTGTAACCCAAAGTTTTAAAAACACATATTTAAAAAAACAACAAAACAAAAAACAAATGATAGAACTAATCTGACTCATTTGGAACTGTCAACTATTAAAATAACAGTAAGTTAATTTCTGCTGGTTTAATTGCAATCACTGAGTTATCTGAACCAATGAAAGAATATTGTAACATAAAACAAATTCTTTCTTTTGTATGTTTGTTGTTATTTAGCCGTTTTTAGGTGTGTCCGACTCTTCATCATCCCTTTGGGGTTTTCTTGGCAAAGATACTGGGGTGGTTTGCTATTTCCTTCTCTAGCTCATTTTACAGATGAGGAAACTGAGGCAAACAGGGGTTTAAGTGACTTGCCCAATGTCACATAGCTAATAAGTGTCTAAGGCCAGATCTGAACTCAGGACTTCCTGACTCCAGACCCAGTACTCTATCCACTGCACCACCCAGTTGCCTATATATTTTTTTTTTTTAACATTCAACATTACTGACTTTGAGTAAGGTCAGGAATAAGAGCATGTTTTAATATTTTTGATACAATTCAATATTTTAATACAATTGCTAGAAAGATACTCAGCATTAAACATTCCTATTGGTTATTTAACCAAAAATGTTAACATTGAATAGTAGTTTTGTTATATTTCATATATTAGTATTCTCCATTTAACCACATGCAGCCACATTATATGTGTACACATATACATGTAAAATACACCATAGCTGTTCTGCCTTCTCTTTCCATCATAAATAACATTTAGCTTCTATTTCACTACTCAAAATTTGGTAAACCATATATAAGAAAACCCAGAATTTTTTCTATAATGAAGAGATCTTCATGTTCATTGTTTAAAAGATACTCACTCTCTCTCTGCCTCTCTTCTAAGAGGGGAAAAGTTTGAAGGCCTTTTTTGTACTCAGTTTTACCCAAGCTAAATAATTGAAAATGGAAATTTGATGCCAGTTCTTATCCTACTATTCAGTAAAATTACTCCAAAACCTTACCTTCTGTGCTGGACAATTCAAACATGTATGTACATGATATGTCAAGCATAACAATTTGGGTGTGAAGTGTTTCCCAACCAAAAAAAGAAGTATCAAGTAGGAAATCCATATATTTCCGAGAGTTGAACATTTCCTTTATTGTTACATTATTAGATACTAATTAGCTAATTATACTGTCTGATAATAACTAGTATTTAGTGCTAGCAAATAGTATTTTGCATGTATTATCTCATCGTGATTTATCTTATTTGATCCTCACAACAACCTTGTGAGGCAGACACTATTAATGTTCCCATTTTACAGATAAGAAAACTGAAGCCAAGTAAGGTTAAATAACTTGCGCAGAAGCACACAGCTAGTAAGATCTGAGTCAGGGTTTGAATTCAGGCTTTCCTGGATCCAAGTCCAAGGCCTTGGTCTGACCTTATGGGATCAACTCATCTCTAGCAGTGAGAACGTGAGCCCTACACTCCCTTCCAGTCAATGGATTTGTCTCCAATGCAGCCATGCCATCTCTTATCACCACATAAATTATACACTCAACATCTTCCTCCACTGTTCCAAGTTTCCAATCCCTTCCCTTATGCATCCCTCATCAGCTCTTCTGGGAAGGTTTAACACATTTATGACCCCATCCCTACCACCAACCCCCATAGCAGCAGGTACCATTGAAAAATTCCACTAACTCCTCAACACCTTCCATTTGGAGTATTAGCTCTGGAGCAGTGACCTAATGAGTTAGGCACACCTCTCCTTGCCCCTCCCTTTTCATTTTGGGTGGGACAATGAATCACACAGGATGAGCCAGTATGAATGGGTTGCAGTATACCTCAAAGATATTAGGATTGTCTTTGCCCGCAAACCCAGCTTTCTTCTGAACTCCTCTTTTTTCTGTGAAGGGCACTGCAGTCCTCTTCAGACAGCAACCTTAGTCTCATCCTCAGCCCCACTTGCACTCACCTCACACATATATAATCAGTTGGTAAATCTACATCTACGCGTCTTGCGGCTTCTCTTCTACTGACAGAACTACCCACTAGTTCAGGCCCTGGTCACCTCTGGGGTAGACTTTTCTAACAGCCTTCTAATTGGTCTCCTTTCCTCAGGTCTCTCCCTGCCAACACATCCTCCACACAGCTTCCAAAATGATTTTTCAACAGCATAGGTCTGGCCATGTTTGTTCACTCTCGTATTCAGTAAACTCTAGTGGATCCTATTGATTCCAGTGTCAAATACTCTACCTTTATCTTATCCTTTTTCTATTTTTTGTATGTTTTATAATGTACATAGGTGTATAGTAACGTGTGTGTATATAAATATACACAATGGTGCTATGCACAAAAATTTTTTACTGCTGGGGTGTACTAGTTCTGACCCCACCACATCCCTTCTAGTATAAATTATTAAGGGAAACTTAAGTTTTTATATTTTTCCTAGGTTTTTTATTTTCCTGTAATTGCGATTTTACAGACTGCCCCTATTGTTAGGGTAATGGGGAAGAGACGTCAAAAGAGTTAGGAAAAAAGGGTCCAGTTACTTTAGTATATCAGTTTTTCTTGTGTATTGTGTCTCTAGCTGAATTAACATTTCCTTAAGGAAAATAAACTCTCTTTTTATAGTTTTTCCAAATTTCTTGGTACATAGTTATATTTATTTAGTTTAGGGATCAGACCTGTGATTTCATTAGTAGGAAACACTGATGGGAAACTTCCCTTTACCATAGCAAAACTGTACTTACCTTCTATTCAGTTCAAAAAGAGCGTTACAGAGTTGCCTGGGGGAACTGAGATACAGTGACTTGCATAGAATCTTAACAGCCAATTTATGTCAGAAACAGATCTTGAAACCAGGTCTTTTTGATTCTAAGGTTTACTCTTCATTTTGCCACAGTATCTTTCTGGTATATCAATAAATATTGATTGTACTAAAATTTCAAATCTTTTTCACATAAATATTCTTGTCACTTCATGGTTACACTGCTGCAATCATCTGGGCTATAATTTTCCATAATCTGAAGCGGTGGAGAATACATCTCTGCCTTATTTTCTATTATTTTCAGGTGTATGGGTGTAGTGTTTTTAAAAAATGAAAGCAAAAACTTGGCTTCATTAGTTGTTTCTATGCTTTTAGTTATTTCTACCATTAGTTGTATTCACATTAATACATATACAAAATTGGAACTTAGAGACAGTTTTAGACTATTCAAAACAAGTTCTATTAAAATATTTTTTAAAAAGCAGTATTATGTAGTCTTACATAATTTGACTCCTAGCATTTCACTTTGCCCCTACTTACCTGTTTAAGTTGTATCTGATTTCAGGCTTATAATATAGTGACCCCAGGGTGAACCAGGGAAGTAGGAGAGGTTTTTTCAGTTTTTTCTACTGCTCTGTGTTAGAGTGTATTTTTCCTCTGGAAAACACTCAGTCACCTTGGAGATGATTCTAAACCGTAGCAGTCTTACAAATGCCTCTCTTAAAGCGATAGATATACCATAGACTGGGACCCGAGATTCCTTGTTAATTGATATATATGCCAGCCTCTTCAATTGGTATTAACTCAGACATCTTGCTTTTATCTTGCTATAGTTGATCTGATGACTTTTTGTCAGCACTACATAGATCTGTTGAAATATGCTGTAAATAAAGTATATTTAAAATCTTTGTCCATCTTTTTTGGTTGGCTGGCCTGGCATGTTATAGATGGATGGATGGATGGATGGATGGATGGATGGATGGATGGATGGAT